ATGGTCCCATTGTAAACATCTCTGGATCAGTCTTAGGTTCGAAACAAGTATCAAGATCTTTTATCGCTTTTTTTATTTTGCACTCCAAGTCCCGATATCTATTTTCAAGCTTTTTTGCCTTATAAAGAACTCGCGTCTCACTTCTTTTTCCCATATAGAATTTATATGAAGACATGTTGCGAGATCCTTTGATACAAGATTTTTGATAATATGCGCAATTAACTCTGGTTGTTCAAAGGGATTATAAGTATGATGCATTTATATTTCGTATTCTCTGATTTATTTTCAAAGAAGGTTCTACTAAAGCATATAAAAAGTTATTAATGAGAATTAGTGATATATGTAGTGCTTTGCTCATTTTCTTCGAAAATAGATTGGATAAGCTAATATAATATCACCTTCTTGTAACTTTGTCACTCAATTCCAGATATTTTAGTTAGTTATACCTTGGAGTATTACTTTTTTTCGAACTTAAGAGAAAAAAAGAAAAAAGAGCGCGAGAATATGGATAAGATCGCTTTCCTGGAATACGAGCGAAATTTTGAGGCTAAAATGAAAGTTACAACTCCGCACAAAAAAGAGCTGAAAAGTAAATCTTTGGCTCTTATCGAATATATATAACCTAGCTAAATAGTAATCTCCGGAGCAGAGAGATTGTTATATTCAGCTAGCTATACATTTAGGTAAGGGGGTTTTTGTCGCTTCTTACAAATAAGTATAAAAAAAATTTTAAATAAAAAATTATTATACTTGATACCCGGATTATACAAAGAGGGTTTTGGGGTTGCGGGTGGTTCTCTCACCTGATTTACATGTCTGCCCTATGTCTCAAAGAGACGCCCCTTTGGGCCTGCAATTTTACGTAAGTACTTTTGATGTAATTTATTCGATAACCATTTTCGTGTCACACGATTTAATCTCGATATAGTTTTGGATATAATGCGTATGTAGTACACTTCAGGTAGAGATAACATGCCGAAAAGTTGGGCACCAAGGTAAAATTATGTGTCAAAGACACGAACTCCGTTATTACAGATATATGATATAAAATTATGCTTTGATGGGTCACCAAGTCAAGTAAAAAAGTGGGTATCAAAAAGTAATACGTCAAGGTTATCAAAAAGGTAATGCGTCAAGGTTATCAAAAAGTAATACGTCAAGGTTATTAAAAAAGTAATACGTCAAGGTTATCAAAAAAGTAATCCAATTTTTAACAGAAAGCAAAGTATTCGAAAGCATTAGTTATGTGAGAAAGAGTTCTAGAATGAAAAAGTATAGCAAACTTTTGGTAATACGTCAAGGCAGAATATTATAAGGAAAAAGGTAAGATAAATTTGTGCTTTG